TAACTTCAGTATGCTCTGGGAATCAATCATTAGATCACCTCGGGAGGTTCTACAATAGTATGCTCCGATTCAGCAACCTTCTGCCAACTCATGTTTTCGTTGAATTTTCAAGCATTTCTCCTGTCAGCCAGTCAGGCTCTTCAAACATGTAAACTCTTTATTACATCATACCGAAAATATCCATAGCCAACAAAAACAATGTATGCTGCAGTAGTATCATATCGTCTACTATACAACCAAAAGATTTCTGGAGCAGGTGTAACGGTGGTGCTAAACAAYATAATAAACTCTGGACCGTTAATATTGTTTGACTAGACAAATGCGTTTTTGTTGTTGTCTGTTTTCGTTTTAAAATCGTACACAAACGATGCTGCTTCGTTGCTTGTAGGGGAGAGTGAAGATTGAAAATTTGGTTCCCACCAATTGCGTATGCATTAATTCCTGCAGACAACACTAAGGACCTCTTWCAAAAATATCAATACATACATACATATGTACATCTAGATGTTTAATGGCACCAAATCGAATGTCACTGTGACACCTGCAATCGCTTGAGCGTCACACAGTAGCCGAASCGAGTGACAAGAGCACAATAGCAAGAAGCAAAATAAAAATACACGCATACACGTACCTATGCGTGCATGTGTATATGTTTATAAGCGCTCATTTGTATGTTTACCCTCGTACAGCATCCCAGAAAGGTCAAATCGCAGCGCAGCAATRTCAGGTGGCAAGTGTTGCTAAGAAATCGTAGCGTGGGAAAGCCAAGACAACGAACTCAACTCAAACTGAAATCGACATTTATGCGTATTTGTTGTTGTTGTTATTATTATTATTATTATTGAGTGCTGTTATCACATCAACATGTCCCTACATTGTTGCACACGTTTAGCGCGCTACTTGACTGGCTTAGGGGCGCGAAATTTTCTGACGCGCACACACGTAGTGCTTCTAGGCGCGGACGGCGCGGCGGTTGGATTGAGCAATATCAGCGTAATAAATAATTCCACTTAACGCGTTGTATGGCTGTACATTTTTGGGYACTCGAAGTGCAGTAAGGCAACGGTATTCGTGCACCCCTCCGCTGGTCACGTTATCAAGTCACCCATAAAAGTTTTTTTTCAAGTAAATTTGTGTGTGTGTGCGCACAGTGGGTAATCGAAAACCTGATTTGACAACAAAATCAATTTCATCATCTTTATTATGCCATGCACACGTACAAGTGCGCTCAAATACGCATTTATAGCCATACTTGAGTTGCACGACGTTGCGCATGCGCAAACCGTGCCTTGCATTGCCGCAGTGTTGGCATGTACATGAGCGTGTGTGTGCATGCCGTTGCAGCCGGCTGCCATCAAMTGTCAGCTGTGCGCGTAAATCCTTGCGTGGGAACCTGCCGAAAATCCTTCTTCCCACGGCCAAGCCAGTAACAACAAACAACCTGCTACGCGCACTAAAGTAACCACTGCGTGATTGCTTTCTTTGTTTCCGTTGTGTGCGCGCGCAGACGCAGCGTTTTTGYGTATATTGTGTTTGCTTGTATATTTTGGCCGCTGCACCCCAAAACAGCGGTAGCGCTTACGGCAACAACACAGTAATCTCGAGTGTTTATGCATTTTAAGCCCACAAAACACACGTGCAGTTCGTAGTGAAAGAAGGCGCAGAAGAGCAAGAACAAGTAGAAGAAATCAGTATGCGCAGCTGTGCGCTCAAGTGGCCATCATTATCACTCTCATGGTACGAGTAACAGCGTTTGAACGGTCYGTCCGTCCAGCCGTGCGCTCGGCGGTATGCTGCGCGCATTCGAAATCAGAACAGACCAAAATGCAACAACAATTAACACACGAAAATGCKAGCGGCCCATAGTCATACTAAGTGWGGCAGCACGTTTGCCGAAAAAAACGAAAAACCAATTTTTACTTGCTGCATCCGTTTGGCGGACACACGGTTGCTTGGTTCCCAAGGAATTCCCACAAAAACTCACTTCCTTTTTCTTGTGGCCGTGCTTCAGCCTTGCAAAAAAAACATATCAAAACTTTGTATTTGTTGTTTGTTTAGCTTTTTTCATTTCAAAATACTCGCTCATTCGCTTTCAAGCGCTCGGCGTTGCGTCTCTTTCAAAAAAATTCAACAAGTAATTAGCAATAAAGTGTCGACGAGGCCAAGTGAACGCGAGTTGTGCAGGAGTGAGCGCAGCCAGCTWTGCAGATWTGTCCACTCACCAAATAAAGCCATTGCGAMTGCTTTTTATTTTTCGGGATTTCGGAATTTTACAAACTAATTTCGGGATCCCTATAATCAGCAATACATACATTGAAATACACACATACTTTTATTGTTGCAATATTTGAATATTTTTTTTAATTTGCAATATCTACTTCGGGATCCCGAAGGCGCACCTAAATTATTCTCAATAATATTATGTACAATAACGGTATAAACAAGCGACTCTGGTTTAAGTTTAGAGCAATATTGACTTTCTCGGAAGTACTATGTATATTTTTTACTTATTAGGTTAGTTTACGTTAGACTGGTATGCCAATCAGCCATGCATAGATCAGTTTTGGTTTTTGCGATACCAGATGGAGCTCAGTTACTAGAGCAATGCGGAGTAGGCAACCTAGACCCGAATTTCAACAAACTCTTTGACCTCGCCATCGAAGCCAATTCCAGTTTATCATACCGTGAAGACTCGAGATGCCTACCATTGTTTCCTTGGTGCCTTGCGGTCTTTTTAGTTATTGATTTCTCATTTTGAAACCGTATCCCGAATATTTATGGATCTTATCGTGTATATTTATCTTATTAAAAATAGTCAAAATTGGTATCAACTTCTCTAAAATAAATTTATATTAAYTGAATTCAAAAATCTTTGCTCAAAATCATTGACTTACTAAAAACAATATTGCTCGAATYCCGTGTTTTCGGGATCGTAACAGTAAATGACTTCGACTGCGTAGAACCAAGCCGAGCGATTGTTTTGCTAAAGCACCCACCTGTTGTTGTTACTCTGCCATCAATTCACTGTTTACAGGGTCAGTACGTGGTTTGGCAATATAAAAATACAGGATACTTCATATAGAAGAGACAACTGACTGCAAGTTCTTGCTGCTCACCCTTTGTGTTGAGCACAAATTGTATGCGCTACAGTCGGCCGTAGGAGACTATGAGCATTTAAATAAGAACTGCTGCTTGAACTTAGATTGCTTAAGTGAAGACACATTCTAATTTTGCCAAGATATGGAGATCTTATTTTARTATTTATTGCCATAATATTTTTGTTACCACTGAGTTTAAGAGTTCTTGGGAAGAAGGAGATGGGAAAATGGAGTCAAAACTCACAATAATTTCAGTGATAGTCGGTAACCGCTTTAAAGCGTAAGGAATTCCGAAACCGTGAATCTTATTATCTTACTTGGGCGAAAGTAAAGGCTTTCCATTAGTTCATCTTATTTCAATTGCGCTTTCCAGAAGCTTGTTAGTTTTTCGACATTTTTAGGGTTATACTATATATAGCATATATTTTTAATAAAGTTGGACTAAAGTTGGAGCGTTATTGAGTTATGTCTTTGAGAGCTTTCTATACCATTGAACCTCAGTTTGTTACATTGAAACTTAGAACTGGTTGTTAGTTAATACCTCTCCTTTAACTGAAACTGAGTCTATTTCATATTGTTTGCAATATTGTGCTACTTATTTCAAGATAATGATGTCCAAAGATGTCGGTCAGGAGTCGAAAYTACTCTGGTACAAGAACCTGATGTAATATTCCGACCACTCTGAATACTTGATCAAAAGCGAATAGGCTGAGAAAGTTTTCCACAACAGATGTAGGAAAGTAGGTGTATTGGAGCTTACTTTTAACACAAAAAAGCTGCCTCAATCTTTGAAGACTACTACTTATAGGATCTTCAATTTGTAAGCGGAAATTGTGAAATTCGAAAAGTCGAATTCTGTTTTGTTTTCAATCCTTAATAGTTTGATAGTTGAAGCCCGCGCTCTCCAAGCGATCTGCAGGCCAAATGTAACGGAAGTTGTAAATACGGTATAGGTTATATGTACTTAGAAGACTGTAGGAAATGTCTACAGGAAGGTGACATGGAAACAATGGAGCATCTCTTATGCACTTGTACCGCATTGGCAAGACAACTCTGTAAGCAGCTGGGGCCTCCACCGCATGATACACTGGAGGAGCTATCGATAGTGAGACCGCAAAGTCGGGTAAAATTCCTTCAAGCCAAGTATCCTAAAGGATGACTACTTCTCTTGAACCTCTTAACTGAACTCCAGCTGGTATAACAAAGGACTAAAACTGGTMTGTGCGTGGCTTATTGACATGCCAGATTAGCCTAACCTAACCTTATATGTACTTATTACCAATGTAGGGTTCCTCAAAGTCGCCTAGACTGACGGCAAACAGCGCAGCCTATTTGCCACACGATATCGTGCCACATCCTGTTAAAATAAGAGAAATTTATTATCAAGCAAGAAACAACACAAATGTAATTAAAAAACATTTACCCAAAAAATTGTTTCCCACACTTTTTCTCTACCATTTAGGGGCGCTCGCATACAGGCACACTTGAGCTCATCAGCTCTCATATTTAGTCAGCGCAGATTTTTGGTTAATTTTTGAGCAACAATAACAACGAACTGCCCGAACAGCTGCTGTTGTAGTTGTTGTCGGTGTTGCATGCTACCTGCGCTGCATACACAGTTGGCTGAGTTGGTGCTTATGACTCTGCTTATACACGGCTTTGCTGTGTCATCACAATGTCGACAGTGCGTTGACTTGTATTGCCCTTTTGGGTCAGGCACACCAGCACTACAAGTGGTAGTGGTAGAGAGCGAAGAGAAAGAGCGGTGGCGGCAACATGGGAAATATACAATGTATGATTCCTGTTGGAATTTTTCTGTACGTCAGCCAGCCAGCCAGCCAGCCAGCCAGAATTGGGAAGTGCAGTTGAGCGGCGCTCAGCTGAGTGCAGAATTACTGGAGACGCGCCGCCGTTCGAGTCCGAGTTTGTTGTCGTCGTCTCGTATTTCTGCTTTCCTTCAGCCGCGTTGGTTCACACGATCGATCGATGAATGGTTGGCTAGTTTGTTGGTAGGTTTGCCTGTTTGGACGGCCTGGTCGACTGCGGATGGTTGGTCGATGTATAAAAACGTACGGATGCAAGCGCAACAGCATCAGTTCATCAACAACTTTCACAGCGAGAACACGCGCAGCAAACGAAACGAAATTCATATTATAATTTTTTTTAAATGAACGTGTCTGTTAACAATTATTGAGAGATATTTTTGATAAGACGACTATTGAAAAAGTTTACTGTGCGGAAATAAATATTTAAGAAACAAAAATAATTGGGAGACAACAAAAAAATGTATACGGATACGAAAAATCTCGCACATCAATTGGCCGACATGAGCCTTACCTCGGCGGCGAATACAACTTTAACGCCCACCGCCCCGACAGAGAAGTCCAAGCGCAAGCTTTGCAAAATATGGCGCCCACTACTGCGGCTGATGGCACGCAAGCGCAACAGCAGCCACACTACGGCTAATAGCAGTTGGCATGCCACCAGCTTACACCCGAACAACGTACACCTCAACAATACAATCCCAACAAARGCGCACGCCAACAGCGAMAGCGAAGATTGGCCCACGGCGCATATCGAGGACTACGCCAGTCTCATGCGCAAAATGAGCTTAAAGGAGCAGTGCAATCATGGCACAGGCGAGGCGGCCAGCACACGCGCTGTGCCCGAATGGGAGCGCCCCTGTCAGGCAAGTGCTAAATACGCAACGACAGTGATCAGCAGTGCAAGTATTGAGAAGACGCCGGCCAGCACGTGCGCGCACTGTGTCTATGGGCGTAATTGTCAGCACGAGCAGTTTCATCATCACATCTGTGATGCGGCCACACAAGCCACAAACACAACCGCACCGACGTCCACATCAACAACAGCCGCATACAACACAGCAGGCGCCCCACATTGGCCCACAATGCCAGRGGGTACGGCGACGTTGTCACAACACGCGCTCACCGAACTGCCCATACAGTATATGCACACCGATGATGGCACCTTCTTCTGGACGAACGCACAGGAGAAAATCGACGATGACCTACTCACAGCGTGGTTATGTCAGAGTTGGCGTCAGTTGCCTTTGCAGGCGGCGTTGCTGTGAATGTGCTTTCGCAGAGAGCTTTCACAACACTCTGTGTGTGAGTGTTGGAAGACAGGGGCTTTCATTACTTTCATCAGGGATCTCATTGTTATTTTAGTTTCATTTATACAATTATACACATACATAYATATATTTTAGTGTAATCAAATACTTAGTATGTAAATTGCAATTTACAAGAATAACTACGTGAAGTACACGTCTTAGCTCCATTTGTTTGCAATATAAATATTTGTGATATGCTTAAATTAATTTATACATTTAAATGTTAAAAATTGTAAGAAAGTAAAATTCAAAACATATATTTACATTAAAATATGTACAACAATAAAAAACCAGTGGAAAAAAAGTTTAATCGAACTGTCTTAAATGCCTAGAATTAATTTTTTGGTAAACAGTAATAAATTTGCAAGCTTAAGCTCCCAGCGAAAATTGTGCTTTCAAGCGTACAAGGACGAAGATAAGAACGAAATCACAACCTAAGGTCGAATAAGTTTTTCTGCCGAAAAAAATTAAGCTTACACAATAAAGAGAAAAAGAAGATAAGAGTGCAAGCACAACCTAGTATTGAACTTATTTTTCAACCACAAGAGATCATTGCTGATTATCATTAAAAGCTTACTTCCAAACTTCCATAAAAATAGTAAAACCGGTAGTTCGACGACCTTTATATTTGGTATATGGAGACTAAGGGAATTATTGACCGAATTTAARTAATTTTTGGCACGCACGTMTCATGGCGAACTTCCAAAAAAASATGATTTTACTTAAAAAAAAAAWRCCGATTATTTTATATAATTGATGGTGTTAAATTTTTTTCGTGTATTTTTTCGAAAAGTTCATTCAAAAACAAAAATTAAAAAAAGGCCCCCAAAAGTCAATTTCTACAAAAGTTGTGGCTATTTGAAAATAAAAAACCGATTTTTTTGAAAAATTCATAACTTTTTTGGAGTTGGAYAAAAAAATTTTGAAAAAATTCTCAAAAAGGTTTTTCAAAGTGTAGAAAAGGATGGATAAGTTTCAGCAAAATCTAAAGGGATCGGGTTTAAAAGTAGTCGATTTGGTATGGAATACCCCATACATATGTTGCAGATAATTATTAAATATTCTAGAAAATATAGAACAACTAGTTCAACATCGCATGCTACAGAAACGCAAATTTGGAAATAACGGCTAGGGTTTGTACCCGAAAGCAACTCTCCTACTTACCAAAGAAATGCTTGAGCCGCTCGATTCAGTCATTTAACAGGAGCATCGTAAAGGGGCGCCTAAACAACTCTAAATGTCAACCATTATTTGAACGAATGCATGAAGATGAAAAATTCACAATTTAGACTATGGCATTTGTCGAATAGTAATAGACTCATCCGAGGCAGTTGACAGTTTTTTATTGGGGGCGTTTTTTACGTGGCGGGTCCCAAACCCAGCGCACAACTCTGTGTAGGGTATGTTTCGCCTTCTTATCTTAACTACTTCAAACGTTCTTAGGATACTTGTTCAAAGACCGGAAGTCGTGAGCTGCTTGAGCCATATGTAAAAGAATCATCCTCCACTCCCAAGTGAATGGCAATCAGAAAACTTTAATCACTTGCGTGAACTTCTTCTCGTACATATGACTCCATCCCCCATATCCTATATCTCTTGCCAACAGGTGCTACTTCGGACTAAGTAGGCAATCGAAAAGTAAAGTCCGCTCTCGACGAACAAAAACAAAACTCTATAAGTCACTCATTATTTCCATTCTKCTATATGGTGCAGAGGTATGGACAATGTCAACATCTGATGAGTCGGCCATAGGAGGAGCACCACCTTGCGAAAAGAAGAAACGACTGGCGTGTTGTTGTTAACTCGGCTATAAGTAGAATAATAATAGCAATCTTAACGCAAACTCAGAGAGAAACTTTATAAAACACAACAACTAAGAGCAGAAACCTTCCATTTCCTTCCTTATCGAGCAAAATGTGTGAACAGTTGAGAACGTGACAAAAACGCAGCCATCTTTGTTTGTTTTCATTTGTATATATAGTTTTGTACACATTTATGTTTTCAATTACAAGTTTTTATAATATAAAATATCAAAACTGGACACAAACTATTAAAAATAGTTTATATATTTATAATTAATAGCATTCGACTCTAATTTTGAGTTATTTTAAGAAAATTTCAAACATATTGTACAGATTGAATTATAAAAGTTGATAATTACTACAGTTTATAGATATTGGCAACCCTGCGTTGTGAGAGAGCAATCAGCTGGCACGTTTCTACGTCAAAAATCCAAATGCCGTGAATTCTCAAGTCATCCCACGTCAAAGAGAGAAGGCGATTTTCACTGTGCAGTTACATTGCGCGCCCATCAGCTGACGCGGGCCACGATTCTAAGTTCTCCAATGTTTCTGCTATAATAAGCTAATGCTTGCGAATTTTATGGTGATATCAAAATTTCTCGTCGTCCGAATCGCTCTAGACCTCTCACGTTTAAATTATTTAAAGCTTAGAGCTTTCTTATTAGAGTTATATTTTCCGTTGGGAGAGGTTAATTGGGGAAGGAATTACCTTTACTTGGTTTTCTTTCTTTTCTGGCTATATAGACCAAGTTCTGCAAACACTCGTCATTTTAATACAATAATAATAACAAACAAGAAAGRAAGGGTTAAGTTCGAGTATAACCGAACATTTTATAGTATTCTCGTACTTGAAACTTGAATCAAACTCTGGAAACACTTTCGTATATTAATATATTAAGACAAAGTATAACCGTGATTTCATCCATTTAATGTAAGAGAATATAGCAAGTCTTTTTATGGATAGATGCGGTATAAGGTGAGCCGGAATTTCGAAAATATTTAAGTTAGGTAAATGAGAGCTGAGGGAAGTTTTGACCTGATTTTACCTATTTTTGACACAAAGCCGTRTTRTCATCACAAAAATATTCTCTCTRAATTRCAATATTAGAATTYATCGCTTGACCGATAAGTCCSGTAAAAAATCAGCCATATGCACWGGGCTTCACATATTTGGTGTCTGAGTCGCTAAAAAGGAATTTGGAAACATTGGAAAGCTATAGTCCGATTTCGGCAATCTTTGGACGTAAGATGAAATACCTTGAGGACACTAGTTGGGCAAAGTTTTATTCTGATAACTTCGTTGATGTTTAATGTTGATTTGTACATTCTAAAGTGAAAGAAAGTTTTTTTAATTTATTAATTTTTTATTTTAGTAAGTGTCAACATAACTGTTTCAAGGGGAGTAGGCATGGTTATTATCTGATTTTACCCATTTTTTTAAAAATTGATGAGGTGATGTAGTTTAAGGGGCTTAGAAAATATGTACATTAAACTATTTRGGAGGCGGAAACATGCCCACTACARKCAAACTTAATTTATCATGCTAGGCTGTAAAAACCTAATTGTCGAGTTAGYATAAGATYATTATAAATAGGTATCAGAGTGTTGGTGTCTCTTTTAAAAATYTCTTACAAACAGAGATAACAGTCGGGTTAGACAAGTTCGTCGGGGCTGTAAATACTTTTATATAATGCTATGGCACATACATATGTATATAAGTTTCGCTTACCTCGTTCTCTGTTGATCATTGAGGAGGATAGGATTTTTCGCTCAGAACAGGTCTCGAATTGGAAAATTTAATTTAATTTTAAGAGAAAAACTCTCAAAATTGAGTAAAATGTCTGCACAAGAGAAGGCACAAATCTATAAACTCTGCTCGAATTCAAAAATTTAAGCTAATTGGACCAGACCTGATCTAACTATACTCCCTATTTGTGAACTCATAGCAGACATCGAGAAGACATCCCTATGAAGTTTAATATTTAAACAACAATTAATTACGGCCGGCCCCTAATGGGTACCCCTTTATAAAACTGTCCACTATCTTTCTCATTGCTTTTCATACCAAGTACTCGTTGCTGCTTTGCATAAGAAAGTGTGTAGTTAACACAACTACAAAAAAAGGTGATGATAATAATCAACACAACAACACCAACAACAATACGTATGTACAAAAATACCAGCAATGAGCACAACAACAACAACAGAAAAAACACCTTAAATAGCGCATGTAATAATAATAATAGTGACAACAACTTTGGCATTGCTTCAGGCACGTTCTCATTTTCCCACACTTTTCGAGGTGCTGGTGGCTGGTCGCCATCGAAGAACAGACGAATGCGGGACGCGCGGACACGAACTGAATACGAGTAGAAGTAACTGACTATGAAAATGTGAATGTGAGAACATTCTTCACTGCAATGATTAGCAATGTGCTGCTATGTTTGCTGGCACTGCCGCTAATGTTGTTGGAATGTTGTCGTTATTGTTGTTGTTGTTACTGTTGGATAAGCATGCAATTATGTGAAAAGTGACTACTCGGTGTGCGGGTATTTAGGTATTTCTGTTTGCTCGCAAGCACAAATATGCCGGCGTATTGTAGTTGTTTTTGTTGTGACAGTGTAGCTTATTTTAAGCTTTTATTTTTTATTTTTTTTATTCTTACGTCTTGGCGAGTGGACACTCCCTGCTTGGTACGGCGGAGCGCGACTACTTTGTTATGCTGGTCAAGATGCCACAACGGCAACATGCCAATCGTTATTTTAACGGATCTCGTTAACGTAATAACGTTATTAATGTCAGTGTGATTAACCTATGAATTTGGTGGGTTCGACATGGAAYGGTCGGCTTGAGCGCGAGCAGTTAGCGGCAAGGCGACTGCCGGCGTACGCGTTTATTGTGTATAATTTAGGCTGCCGCGGGCCAATCAAAATGATGGACAGTGATGATTAACAACAACAAAGAAAACAGCAACAACAGCAACAAACACAAAACAACAACGACAACAAAGTGCAAAAAAATTACAAAAACAACTACAACTACAACAAAGTGAAGGAAAAAAATACAAAAACAACTACAATAAATACTCTAGCTGCCGTTTAGTCACTAACAGCAAGCATTACAAATTAGCATCGCTTGTTTTTGCTGCTGCTGTTATTGTAATTGGCAGCGCTCGAGCGYTGAGTCAGCAAAATATACATATGTATGTACATAAGCACATATGTACATATGTATACTACATATTTGCATCATGGTGTTTCATATCAACTGGCATTTTTTATCACGAAATACCTTATAGCAGAAACAGTGCAAAACGTAAAATCGTGGCCCGTGTCAGCTGATACGACCTATCTTATTTTATGTTATGAAAAATTGTAATTGAAAACTTCGATGTGTACAAAACTATATATGCGTATTGAGCAATGGCAACATTGTTCAGATGGAAACAAACAAAGTCGGCTGCTTTCTCCGTTTTTAACACGGGCTCAACTTTTGAAGAATTTTGCTCGTTAAGGAAGGAAAAGGAAGGAAGGGAGTAGCGTTTGTCACTGTTTCTGCTATTAATGTTTTTGTTTTTTTTTCCCCTTCCGGAAGCAAGATTCGCGTATTTTTCGACAATATTCTGAGAATTTCGCGAGATTTTAGCTAGAATTGTTTACCGAGTTGTGGCGTGTGACGGGGAACTACTCACGCACTGCAGTGCACTGGAGAATTTAGTCAAATATTTTATTTAAACAACTTGTCATGATATTTCTTATTTACAAATACTTATTACAAATTTAGAAAAGCTCTTAATATTGTAGAGGTTAAAGATCCGTTTACTCGTTGACGTTGACATTTCGAAGAATAACATGGTGAAATACCTCAACTTTTTGAAGTCATTATCACAGAGCAAATGACTTTTTCGGTTTCTCCATTCATTTCTTGTTTTTAGCTTGAAGTTTTTAACGGTAAATTTGCTGGAATTTGTGAATCATGTAACAATAGGTTCGTATGTACGAGAATACCCCAGCTCTGAATAAATGAATAGGTTTTAGGGAAATACGCATACTACTATACATACAGGGTGTTACTAGAGTTTAAAAAAAATTGTTTGGTTTCCTTTGGCTGTGCGAACTTTGATTCCAGACTATTTAAATATCAGCTTCAGATTATCCGACAACAGTCGTAAGTTAATTTAGCGCCATATAATCATTTTGTATAGGCTTTTGAAAATTAAGAAAACATTTTACGCAAAAACTTTCTTAAAGCTGATAATTAAAATTGTCGTAAAAAATCCAAAATATTATTGTATTTTCTGGCAGTTTGTGTAAAATTTGAATAAATATCGTGAAATGGTAATTTTTAAGTTCATTTTCAGTCATGGCTAAGTGCTTGAGGGGTTCTACAACACCTCTGGAATATTGTCCTAAATTTTGAAGTTGATCCGAGTAATAGTCTCGGAAATACAGCCTTGAAAACTTATGCGCTCGAGGCTAGCTATTCTAAGTCGGTTGACAAGATTTCTTGAGAACTACTCAACCGATCTTCATGAAATTTTACAYTGGTCTTTGAAATATAATTCTCAATGGATGAAGGATGTTTTTTTGATTACAACTAATTGAAAAAAATCGCGAAATTTACCTGAAATTTTAGTTTTTTCGCAAAAATGTCTGCCAAAAATCCGGTTTTGTTTGGTTTTTCCTCCTTTCTAAAAAAGGCCTTAAGCCTTAACTAAAACACGTATTTTTTCACTTTAGAAGATCCTGTAAGTTAAAAAAAAAATGTCCAAAAATTTCAGCATTTCTTTGTTAATAGCATATGTTTGTAACAATAAAAAATTCTAATAAAATATTTCATGTCTTATCTGAGAAAAATATTATAGAAAAAAAGCTAATTTTTACCCAAGGAAACCCATCTAACCATTTAAGTGAACTTCTCTTTAAGATACTGATTTTTTGCATTGAAGCAATAATAACTTTATTTTTTTTCGGTTCACCCTAATGCAGATAGTTATATGTATGTATGTATGCACGTTTTTGAAACTGCGGAAGTTCTACTTATTATTAGATAAACTTAATTAAATTTATAATGACAATCATATTAACTTTCGTAAACATATTTAGTTATAAGTATAATAAATAGACGGTCCTTAAACTTTGTAATATACATACATATGTACAAACTTACATACATATGTAAGTGGTAAACAAAATAGCACAGATTCATATCGCAATGCAGTACGTGTAAAATGTAATTACATGGTTTTTTATCAGCTGAAGACAAAATTGGGGCGAAAATTTACGCTGTTAATGAAAACACACGTCACAGTGTCGCAATTTTCATTTGCGCTGAAAGTTAAACTGAAACATACATTCGTGAAGAATAAGAAAGTATTAAAAACTAAGTTTAGCGGAGTCGAGCTAGAAATCTCTAGTTCACTAAAGCATTACGAAAAAGCATACTATAATAATTAGTAATGAAATATGGGCGTGGCTTTTATTCTGATAAGTACAGTGTACTTATCTACTATATCAAAGTACTCTTAGATACGGATAAGTTCCCGAACTTGACAATAGACTTTTTTAACTCACACACTAGAATTTGGTCTTTGTTCGTCGAGAGAGGACTTTACTTCTCGATTTCCCACTGAGTCCGAAGTAGCACCTGCTGGCAAGAGTTATTCTGCGTTGAATTGCGAGGCTGACATTGTTGGTGGTGTTTATGCAGCTTTGAAATCGACGAAGAGGTGGTGTATGTCGATACTTTTCTCACGGGTCTTTTCCAGACCCTTTTCTAGACTCTCGCAACAAAGTTGCTAACGTGAGTATTATAGTTTTGTTCACATAACGGTTGTTTGYAAGTCCTAAAACTAAAAGAGTTAGATATAGGGTTATACATACCAAAGTGATCAGGGTGACGAGTAGAGTTGAAATCCGGATGTCTGTCTGTCCGTCCGTCTGTCCGTGCAAGCTGTAACTTRAGTAAAAATTGAGATATCATGATGAAATTTGGTACACGTATTTCTTGGCACCATAAGAAAGCTAAGTTCGAAGGTGGGCTTTAATCTTTGACACAGTAAGCTCGGTAGAACCTTATATGCGATGTTCAGGAGGCTTATACACTTATATAGCACACTCAAATTTCAATTGTCAAGCATGATTTCTTCAGACCATATTCTACAAAGAACCTAATGCATGCGGTATATCAGTTTTTCGCCGCCGCATGTGAATAGCTTGGCCAGTAGTCCATCGTCCACGCCGCTTTGCTGTTCTTCAGACGGGCAATTGTTATTCGATGTTCTTCATGGTCGGGCAATGGAACATCTGCTTCATCGACATCGATTATGCTTTCACTGCCATTCAGTTGTTTAGGGAAGTATTTCCTCCATAATTTCAGTATGCTCTGACCATTAGTCACTAGATGACCTCGGGGGGTTATACAACAGTATATACATATGTTATACAGTTAAATAGCTTAATTTAATTGTTAATTGTGGCGCTTTATAGTTTTTCGTTTTGTGGCCCTGGCAGCGGTTCGATTTCAAGAAAGCAATCCTTATCGATTCAGGTTTCGCGGGCAGTTTAAAGGAACCACTGCGGTCTTTGACTCGCATATTTATTCCAATAATCTACAACCCCAACCTACTGTGCGATAGGGACTTACTCATTGTTAGAAGTGCTTCTCCTAGAACATACCACAAAGTGCGAGTACACTCTCAAAACTATGTTGTCACCTCCACTCACAACGAATACTATTTACTTGTACACGTAAAACTGTACTTTCGTGGTAAAAACATTAATAATGCGGTTGGTACTTTACGGTACTTTATTGTTGTTTTATAAAAATATTTATCGTGGCATTTGCTGATAAGCGATAAGAAATAAAAAACATATTTTTCTCAGCGCGACTAAAAGTGTGTATAAATACAAAACAGTCAGTGGGTCGATAGTATGAAACAATCAATCAGTGTGCATTAATACCTAAATTCGAAGTGACAAAAGCAAAGAAAATACTTTAAAATAAAATAACTCAAAAAAACAAGAAAGTTTTCAAATACAAAAATAAAAAATGCTGTGTAAAAATTCCTACATAATATTTGCCACGTTGTTGGCCTTCTGCAATGCCAATACAATAACAACACTTGCTGATGAGGCACCTTTAGATGCGGACCAGAACCAGGAGGAGCAGCCATGCCCAATAATCTGTCCGGCTTTGTATGCGCCTACTTGTGGCTATGATGGCGTTGRCTATGAGCAATTCGTCAATCCCTGCATGATGCAGGTGGCCAACTGTGAGCGTAGGAAGGAGCGTACSTCGCTGCAACAACGTGAGTAACCGCAGCGCAAAGTGATCGCGTAACCTCGTTAGTGTTTGGGTAATAAAAGAAATATTTCAAATAATTTTCAGCCTTCGCACAGACCGACAATGATTGGTGCAGTACGAAATTGGTAAATAACATATATGAAATTGTGTCCAACTTCGCTGACAATTTGAGCAAAGAGGAATGCTTGAAACCCTGTCCGATGATTTACGATCCCGTGTGCATTTCGAATGGCGACTATCGTGTCACCATCGCCACCGCCTGCCAATTGGACAYCTACAATTGTGCCCTGAAGGGCACTAAATGTGAGTAACATTTGATAAAGTTTCCWTTTTTATACCCAAGCATAGTTTTGTAGTATTACTTACTTATATTATGAGGTTCATGAAATACCGCTTGTTTGTAAAAATGCCAACGAGGCAACACCGTTGTACTATATATCAGTTGAGATCGTGTATGCACTTGTTTTTAGCTTCGCTTTAATGAAGCAACATTGTAGAATTTAGCAAAAACGAACAATCTTTAAGATAATCGAGTCTTCGTCGTGCAGCATATTTGTTGTAAACTTGAATACGAAATAATAGTGAGTTGTTCGGTGGTAATAAAAGTTCGATCGGTTAAAATGGTACAACTCTAATGACACGAAGTTTGCAACACCGACATGGAAAGGTCGGAGAACCTATAAGGGGTTAGGGGTATTCAGAGCACGAAAAAGATGAGAATTTTCAGTATTATTTTTGCTATTAAAACATGTTATTTTACAAAAGTAGTAATATGGCATTATTATATGTGCTGACTTGAAGTCACGAAAATTTCAAAAAAAAAAAAAAAAATTAAAAACTATTTCCAAAGCGGTGACAACCATAAGTGTCCTTGTAGATTCATCTAAAATCAATTGGACAAAAAAGAAAATAGTTTTATAAATAGATAATCCTGGACCTGACCGAAGGGTTTTTTTTCAAAAATTAACACAATGGCGGCATCAGGAAATTTTTTTCGAAATTGGTCTTAAAAAATCGAAATTTTTGAAAAAATAAAACATACTTTTTTTTGAAAATTCTGACTACCCCTAACCCCTTATGTATATATCATACATAAATGATCAGTGTGTCGAGCTGAGCCGATGAAGCCATGTCCGTCTGTCTGTATATAAGTGATAGTATCTCAGTTTTTGAGATATCGATTTAAAATTTCTCTTCAAGAAGCTACTTATTTGTCACTACCACCGATGTCGGATCATTACAGCATATAGCTGCCATACAAGCKGACCGATCAAAAACCGGTCCTTGTGTGGAAAACTTTTTTATTTGATATGATATCTTCACAAAATTTTACATAGTATATTGTCATTGCAAACGCTACGTCCTTCGAACATATTGTTCAGATCGGRCTAYTATAGCATAGAGCTGTCATACAAACTGAGCGCTCAAAATTAATATTCAGTTTTCCGTTCCCACGGCAGTCGAGACRAAATTTCACGGGTCTACGCAACCGGAACGGACTCGGAATTTTATGCGGACAAYGACAGAATTCTGCCACAATAACAAYTYTTCCGCTTTTAATTCTTTTTTATGCTGTAAAAACCGACCTGTGAATTGAAAGACGTTTTTTTACTCTTAATTATAGCATTATCWGAGCGAAAACGGTTCACATTTTAGAAATAATTTACTTTTGAAACATGCGCTGGGTATAAGAAAAATTTTGCCAACTTCTCATTCTACATATGTATCTTATCTTATCTTTGTAATGCAAACTCTTTTTTATTTAACTTATACTCTTTGCAGTGGAAGCCAAGCTCTTCAAAATACTGAGTACCAGGAAATGCGAGCTCAATTAAACTCAACAGACAAACAACCATCGTTTGACGAAATTTCATATAACAATGAGTTAAGAAATCATAGAAAGCTTTTAAAATGTTCCTTTTTTATATAAAGTTTTTTGCGTCTCTTAATGAAACTATTCCAATAAATATGTGATTRTGAATATACATACAAATGTAATAGAATTTATAGTTATAAAATAGAGTAGTCATTTGGTTAGTTAAGTAGGTACATACATATATATATACATACGTGCTCTTTTCATTGTGCAATAAATATTGTATTTTGTGCTTATCGATAAAACGGCAGTTCTTTAAATCACTCGATTTATGTCCCAGCCAATTTACGAAACACTGATTTTCTGATAAGTTAAAAACAACAAAAGTTGTTATAAACACGTAATTACGTTTATTTATATTATGTTAATAAAATCGAGAGCTATAACTCTCTGTTTACGAGTACATACATATACAATATATCGACACCGAAAATGTAAAATAACGTAACATCACTTTTCATAAGTTTGCAGGTGAAGGAAAAACGATATAATAGAAGCCACTCATATTGAAACAAAATTTTAGTTTTGGTTATAAAATGGTTGTATATTCGTTATATAATGGTTATATCTGACAGCGGAAGYTAAACATTTTATGCTACATATATGTAYGTACAAWGAGRTAGTGAATCGTAAGCAATAAAAAACTTAATTTGCCCTTTTTTGAATATGCAATTTTGCATTTTATGTAATATGAATGTCAAATGTTAGAAATGAGTTAATTGAAGAATGCTTTTCCRTACTTCAAACCCTTTCGACATTCATACCTGCTAACCAAAAACTTCAGGTCTGTTTGGGCCACTATCTTGCCAACGCAAGCCTAGTTCGCAAGGTGAAAAGAAAATTCTTAAAAATAATATTTCCAATATATCCTAATAATAAGCAGTAACACCAATTTCTTAGCATTATATTCAAAAATTTTTATAATCCCAAATATCCTCCGACTTCCAAGCAGGACTATTTTATTGATGTTATTCCAGCTTTTTGTTTATGGGTTATAACGKAGAAACTTTATTTTTCAMGMCGAARGT